ATTAGAAAACCAAGTGCTTTATCTTGTTCTCTGGTCAATCAAAAGACCCAGTGAACAAGTAGAAACAAGTAGAAATTTCTTCATTTCTGAAGAAGGGTCTAGACCCAAATTGTCAGCTTTCCTGCTCCTCTGATGCTGCTTGGCCTGCTGTGTTCATCCAGCTCTACACCTTGTTATCTCAGATTCTCCAGCATCTGCAGTTCCTACTATCTCTGAATAAAGTGTGAAGTTGTGTGCAATTAATCCAGGGCACTGTACATGACTGACAAATGTAAAGTCACCCAGGACATGGGACATGACAGATATATGTATATCCGATTCGGGACATGACAGATAAATGTTAAATATGCCTTGGTATCTAAAGAACAATTTTCAGCAGAATTGTAAATGTACCTCAGTCCGCACCTCTTGACATGTGAGTAGGAGTAAATATTGATATTCGAGATTGCTGACAGTATCAAGATGTGCAACTCATAATTAACTAATAATCTAGAGGACGGACAAAATGGAAGAAGGACATGGCAAGTGTGAGGTTGTTCATTTCTATAGAATGAGTAAGGGGTCACCTAGTTGCTGGAACTAATTTAATTTCTAAAGGAACAGAATATAAGATCAGTTCTGAGGAAGGGTCACTTGACCCGAAACATTAACTCTGATTTCTCTCCACAAATGCTGCCAAATCTGCTGAGCTTTTCCAGCAATTTCTATTTCTGTCTCTGATTTACAGCATCTGCAGTTCTTTCGGTTTCTATAAAATCAGGGAGGTGTTTTTATATGCACATTGGAATTTGCTTAGCCTGCCATTGGGAATTCTGGTGCAGTTCTGGTCTTCACAGCACAAAAAGTATAGTGAAGCACCACAGAAATTTCAAAAAAGTGTTGGGTGAATCCAAAATAAGGATCATAAGAAAAGCAGTTCATATAAAATATAACATATAATTAAAGAGAAATTTCTTTACAGAGTGGTGGAAATGTAGTGTTCACCGAGATAGAATGGGAAAGGCTGACAACATTGATGCATTTAAGTGGAGTCTTGGAACAAAAATGAAGAGGAGAGAAATAAAGAGGCCTACTTATTGTTGGAAGAGGCTGAATGAAGTAGAAACACTGTTACATCTAACGGCCCGTTTCTGAGCTGTTGCAATTCTGGCCTTCATGGTTCAGTCTTGAACTTAAGGAATAATCTCCAGTTTGACAGTTCTGCAAATGTGTACCATTGAGCTGTACACGGCCTTTATCAAATTCAAATAAATCTCTGACATGCTATCCTCTTCAAATTTGGCTGCCCTAACAAATTTCCAACCATTTTTGCCTACTCCAGAATGAGATGCAAGCTATGTTCCTCATCAAAGGACCCCACCACAAACCTTATCTCATTGAAATTGAGGTCACACAAGGCTATGTCATTACACCAATTCTCTTCTCCATTTTCCTTGAGCCAATATTGCATTTCATCTCCAGCATATTATTAATAAGTGTGGAGAAAGTCTACAGACAAAATGGAAAACATTCAACCTTCAAACCAAAACTCAAACCACTCAGCCTCAGTATGCAAATGATACTTATGTATATGGTCACTCAGAAACTAATCTCCAGGTCACTGTTGACTCCTTCTCAGAAACATAAGAAAAAATGGTCTTTCACTAAGCATCAAGAAAATGAAGGCTCTCCAAACAAATCCAACAGCAAAACATCTTCTCCTGTAAATTAAGATCAATGGCAAACTCCAAGAGCATGTGATTCAATTTCAAAATTGTGGGAGCTTTGTCTTAATGAAGACCAATAAAGAAAATGAAATTTATCATTGCCTTCAAGGTGCCAGGTCAGCTTTTAGCTGACTAAATAAAGGGTATTAGAGGACCAGGAACTCAAACTCCATATTAGAGTAATGACTACCTGGCAACAGTGACCACCATGCTCCAATGTGCTTTGGAGAAGTATTACCAGTAAAATCTTCACAAAATCTTCCAAATCTGGTGGTAAGAAAGGCTGTCCAAAATAGCATCCTTTCCTATGCCAACATGTCCAACATTGCGGTCCTAATCACTCAAAACCAGTTCAATAAGCAGGATGTGCCAAAGTAATTACTCCACTTAAAACTTGTTTGAGACAGGAAACCTTCGGGATGTCCTCAAAGGATCAACTGTATTCACTGGACTGCGACTGACCAGAATAGAGAAGGGTCAATCGGTAAATCAGCAAAAGAAAGAGAGAATTCATCAGAAATGTGCAGAGACAAAGCCAAAATGTTGGAGGGAAAGCACAAACGTCCATCTACCCAGTACTTCAAGAACCACTTGCCCCACATGCAGCAGAATCTGGGACCTAATGACATAGAGGTAAATGGTCAGCCATGGCACATTTAAATGGCAGAGCAGGAGTGATGGATCAATGTTCCACCTGTGAATCAAATGTTTAGAGTTGTCATTACATACCTCTGGAGCAGGTGGGACTTGAACCCAGGACACTAATGAGGTACTACCACAGAACTAGAAGAATCCCCTGACCTGTGATTGTACATCCTGTGTTCTAATTAACAGTCATCTAAGAAGGCTGGCCCAAGTTATATGCAATCAGGGGGAAGTGTCTAAGAAGGACAAGTGAGCATTTTTCTTACAATAACAGGCTGCTTTCATGCACTGTCTCTGATGAGACAGCAGCCCTATGGTCCAATTGGACTAGGGTGATTTGACATTTACCTTCTGTTCCACGCAAGGGTGCCAGTTAACTCAGTTGGATGCAGTGTGATACCAACAGCATGGGTTCAATTCCTATACTGGCTGAGATAACCATGAAAGACCCACCTTCTCAACCTTACCCCTCACTTGTGGGGTGGTGACTTTCAGATTAAACCATCAGCAGTTGTCAGTCTCATGACAGACCAGCCATTTGCTCCTCTGAGAACAATGGCTTCCACACATGTGGCAGATAACAGGGTGCAAAGTGCAGCAGGTAATGGAAAACTAGGTAAAATAAAACAAAGAATGGCAGATTGCTTTTTGTAAAATTTATTCATTTGTGGGATGTGGGTGTTGTTGGCTGGCCTCCATTTATTGCCCGTCCCTAGTTGCCTTTGAGAAGGTCAGCTGCCTTCTTGAACTGCTGCACTCCACCAGCTGTGGGTTAACCCACAATGCTATTTGGGAGGGAATTCCAAGATTTTGACCCAGCAACAGTGAAGGAAAAATGATATATTTCCAAGTCAGGATGGTGAGTGGATTGGAGAGGAACTTGAAGGTAGTGGTGTTCCCATGTATCTGCTGCCCTTGTCCTTCTAGATGGAAGTGGTCTTGGGTTTGGAAGGTGCTGTCTGAGGATTTTTGGTGGATTTCTGCACTGCATCTTGTAGATAGAACACACTGCTGCTACCAAGCATCAGTGGTGGAGGGAGTGGATGCTTGTAGGTGTAGTGCCAATCAAGTGTGCTGCTTTGTCCTGAATGGTGTCAAGCTTCTTGAGCGTTGTTGGGGCTGCACTCATCCAGGCAAATGGAGAGTATTCCATCACACTCCTGACTTGTGCCTTGTAGATGGTGCACAGGCTTTGAGGAGTCAGGAGGTGAGTTATTAACCACAATATTTCTAGCATCTGACCTGTTCTTGAAGCCACTGTGTTTATGTGGTGAGTTCAATTGAGTTTCTGGTCATTGATAACCCCAGGATAACACCATTGAATGTCAAGTGACGGTGGTTAGATTGTCTCTTATTAGTGATAGCCTGGCATTTGTGTGGCATAAATGTTACTTGCCACTTGTCAGCACAAGCCTGGATATTGTCTGGATCCTGTCACACTTGAACATTAACTTTCAGTATGAGGAGTTGTGAACGGTGCTGAACATTGTTCAATCATCACTTTTGACCTTATGACGAAGGGAAGGTCATTGATGAAACAATTGAAGTTGGTTGGCCCTAGGACACTACCCTGAGAAACTCCCACAGAGATGTCCTCGAGCTCAGATGACTGACCTGCAGCAGCCACCACCATCTTCCTTATGACTCCAACCACCGGAGAGTTTGCCCCCTGATACTCATTGATTCCAGTTTGAGTCAAGGGCTGGTGATCCGAAACAAACAAAAAAAGAGAGTGCTGGAGAAACTCAGTATGTATTGCAGCAGCATCTGTAAAGAGAAAACAGAGTTAAAGCTTCCAGTTAATTCTGAAGGAGGACCAACTATTGGATCGGAAAGCTGGCTGTTTGGTTGAAAAAAAACAAAAGCAGAAACTGCTGGAGTCTCAGACTATTAACTCGGCTTTCCCAACGGCTGTCACATGTGCCGACAGGTTTTCTCCAGCAAATTCTGTTTTCGTTTCAGATGTCAGTCTCCGCAGCTCTTGGTTTTATTTCAGCTGAAATAAAATGTTGATTGCTTGGGGCAGAGGGTTTGGTGGTTCTCATAACAACTTCAGCCAAGATCATTCATCCTCCCTCTCCCTTCAGAAATCACGCGACACCAGGTTACAGTTCAACAGAGATAGTAGGTACTGCAGATGCTGGAAAATCTGAGATAACAAGGTGTAGAGCTGGATGAACACAGCAGGCCAAGCAGCACCTTAGGAGCAGGAAGGCTTCCTGCTCCTAAGGTGCTGCTTGGCCTGCTGTGTTCATTCAGCTCTACACCTTGTTATCTACAGTTCAACAGAGTTTGGGGAAGGGTCACCGGACCCGAAACGCTAACTCTGATTTCTTCTTCACAGATGCTGCCGGACCTGCTGAGCTTTTCCAGCAACTTCTGTTTTTGTTATTAGTCCAACAGGTTTATTTGAAAACACAAGCTTTCGGAGCCTCAGTCCGAACACCTGAAGAAGGACTGAAGCTCCGAAAGCTTGTGTTTTCAATAAGCCTGTTGGACTATAACCTGGTGTCGTGTGATTTCTGACTTTGTCCAACCCAGTACATCACCAGCACCTCCACATTATCTCTGTAAATGAATGAATGAATGAATGAATGGAGTAGGTGTCGCCTCCTGCACCGCTGGGTGCCTCGCGCCTCCCCATTGTGACGACTGTGATCAAGTGACCGGTAGTGTTGTTGCCATGGATGCGGCGGAGCGGGTCGGTCGAGTTCGGCGGCAACGGGGCCAGGGGCTTCCTTCCCTCCCCTGGGCCTGGGCCTGGCTCACTCTCACTGCCCGCATCGGAGCCGCCGTCTACGTCCTGGACGACAAAGGAGGCCTGGGCCCGCAGTTTGACGGCATTGGCGGCCTGAGCGGTGGCGGGGTAAGTTACCCGGGGTCTTTTTCAGGAGAGGGTGGTTGTCATCCCATCACAGAGAAAGTGAGATCACGCAGAAAGAGGCTGTTCAGCCCGTCGTTGTTGTGCTGACTCCCACCCACCTACCTACCTACCTACCTACCTACCTACCTCCCTCGGTTAGCGACAAACGCAGAGGACCCTGTAGAAACGCAGCAGGTCTGGCAGCATTTGTGGGGAGAGAGAAGCGTTTCGAGTCTTGTACGACTTCTTCCGAATTGTTTTCGTCTCAGATTTCCAGGACCCGCAGTATTTTAGCTTTAATCCCTCTTTGGTTAGAAGCCATCGTGTGAATGCCAATCCCTTCCCGTCCTGCTGTTTCAGGTAGCTGGCGGTGATTGGGTGTGGTCCTGGAGTTTGTCACATGTCCGGCCTTAGAGTCAGGGAGCCGGACAGGACAGGTAACAGATCCTTCGGTCCAACTTGTCCATGCCGACCAGGTAATCTATATAAATGTAGTCCCATTTGCCCCATATCCCTCTAAAACCTTCCAATTCATATACCCATCAAAATGCCTTTTAAATGTTGTAATTTTACCAGGCTTATCCACTTCCACTTCCTCTTGCAGCTTATTCCATACATGCACCATCCTCAGCATGAAAAGGTTGCCCCTTAGGTCCCTTTGAAATCATTCCCAAATCAGTTTAAAACCGCCCTCTGGTTTTGGACTCCATCACCTCACCCCTCAGTCTCCAATGCTCCAGGGAAAATAGCCCCTGCCTGTTCAGCCTTCCACTACAGCTCAAATCCTCCAACTCTGGCAACATCCTTGCAAATCCTTTCTGAACCTTTTCAAGTTTCACACCATCCTTCCTCGAGCAAAGATACCAGAGTTGCACGCAGTATTCCAAAAGTGGCCTAACCAATGACCTGTACAGCTGTAACATAACCTCTCAACTCCTACACTGAATGCACTGACCATGTATTGCCCCACCTGGTTCACACAAATATTTGAAGAATGGAGGCAAGAAGAGAACCTGGTTTTAATCACTTAGAGTAATAGAGTCCTACAGCACGGAAACAGACCCTGCAGTCCAACCAGTCTGTGCCAAACTAAACTAGTCCCATCTGCTTGCTCTTGGCCTATATACCTCCAAACCTTTCCTATTCATGCACTTATCCAAATGTCTTTTGAACGTTGGAATTGTGCCCACGGCCACCACTTCCTCAGGAAGTTAATTCCACATGCAAACGACCCTCGGTTTTTAAAAAAAAGTTGCCCCCCCTCTGCTTTTTGTCCTACATTCTCCATAGACATGTACTTTAAGTTTTTGAGAAGATTTGTGGCTCGGGTTGTGGATGAGGTTTTGGTCTTGCTCGCCGAGCCACTGTGTTTGTTTGAAGATGTTTCATCGCCCTGCTAGGTAACATTGTCGGTGCACCTCAGTGAAGCGTTGGTGTTCTGTCCCGCTTGTTATTTATATGCCTCAGTTTGCTGGGGTGATTGACATTACTTCCAGTTCTGTTTTCCAGTGGTTTATATGTTGGGTCCAGTTCAATGTGTTTGTTGATGGAGTTCTAGTTGGAATGCCAGGCCTCCAGAAATTCCCTGGCATGTCTCTTTGGCTTGTGCTGTTATGGATGTGTTGTCCCACTTGATTTTGTGTCCTTCTTTGTCCCTTCTTTGTGTATTGAGACTAGTGAGAATTGGTTCTGTCTCTTGGCGGCTAGTTGGTGTTTGTGTATCCATATTGTCAGTTTTCTTCCAGTTTGGCCTATGTAATGTGTCTCTCAGTCCTTGCATGGTATTTTGTATATTACGTTAGTTTAATTGGTTGTAGGTATTGGTTCCTTTATGTTCGTCAGTAGCTGTCGCAGGGTGGTTGTTGGTTTGTGGGCTACCCTAGGGGTCTGAGTAGTCTTGTGGTCATCTCTGATATTCTCTGCCGCACGGGAGGGTGACTAGTGTGTCTGGCCGTGTTGTGCCTTGCTGTGGTCTGTCGCAGGGATAAAGGCGGATTGTGCATTTTTGGGTTTCCATTCCTTTTAAAAACTCTGTATAAGTGCTCCTGTTGAGGTTGGTTGACTCGCCGAGCTGGTTTGTTGTTCCGCAGACATTTTCGTTACCGTGCTTGGTAACATCCTTCTGAGGATGTTACCAAGCACGGTAACAAAGTCTGCAGAACAACAAACCAGCTCGGCAAGCCAACCAACCTCAACACCACAACCCGAGCTACAGATCTACTCCAAAACCTAATAAGTGCTCCTGTTCTGCCTTGCACAATTCTGGGTTGCTGCATTGTGTTGTGGCCCATTTGAATAATGTCCTGATGCAGTTCCGTTTAAGGGTGTTGGGGTGGTTGCTGGTGTAATTAAGTATCTGGTCCATATGTGTGGTCTTTCTGTGTATGCTAGTCTGGAGTTCCCTGTTGTTCTTACGTTCAACCGTTCTGTCTAGGAAGGGTAGTTGGTTATTGTTCTCTTCTTTTGTGAATTTTATTCTGGTGAGGATGTTTCTGTGTCGGTTGGTTTCTTCTAGTCTTGTGCATTTGATAATCATGAAGGTGTTATCTACATAGCGGACCCAGAGATTGGGTTGTATAATGGGGAGCACTGTTTGTTCTAACCTTTGCATTACCGCTTCTGCGATCAGTCCTGATATTGGGGATCCCATTGGTGTTCCGCTGATTTGTTTGAATATACGGTTGTTGAAGGTGAAGTAGGTTGTGAGGCACAGATCCAGCAGTTTCAGGGTGCTGTTCTTGTTGATGCTCTTGGTGTCGTGGGGTGTCTGCCTTCCCGAATCGTCCAGTAGTGTGGCAATTGTCTCCTCAGCTAAGTCGATGTTAATAGTGCTGTTATGTCAAAGGATATCATTGTCTCGTCGTCTTCTATTCTGGTTTCCTTTGATAATGTTGTGAATTCTTGGGAGGAGTGGACGTCAACTAAGTGTTTCAGTTTCTATTGTAGTTTTTTGGCTAGTCTGCTTTTTATGGATTTATGTCCTTGTCCCTATATGTGCACATATGTTTCCTTTCCTATATTTAGGGTTTGTAGTACTCTTATTGTAAACAGCATTGAGATAATGCCTCTTATGTGATAAGTCCAATGAAAGTGCAAGATGGTCTCTTTGCTCTGTTGCATATTCGGAACTTGGGTTTGGTTTCTCAATGCAGAAAATTCATTAAGATATCAGATTCTGCAAAGAAGCAGATAGTGGCAATCATCATAAGGAATAAATTATTATTAAAACTCAGCTCGACCAATGGTGATTTCTATATCCTGGAGTATCTACTTGGCCAGTATCTGATACATTAATCTTGGCTGCAGCATTTGAGCTAATTACAGAAAACATTATAAAGACTGGAAATCTTGGGGGGGAAAAAGGAAGGAAATGCTAGAAAAGCATCTGCCACCAACCATGGAGTAAACAGATAAATTCACAATTTGGGCTTAGAATAATTCTTTTCAGAACAGCAACCCCGAGATATCATACATTCAGTGCTGCTGGCTTTGACCTTACGTTGAAAATAATTATCTGTTTTGAAGTGGTGTAATTATACTAAGTTTTTTTTTGTGTAGTAAATTTCAGTGAATTTTGTTTTTGAATAATTATTGAAAATTGTGCAATTTTTATTTTTAGGCAACTTCCCGGCTTCTTGTGAATTACCCAGAGCCGTATCGCAGCCAAATCTTGGACTATTTATTCAAGGTAGCAATTATATCCAAATAAATACATTATAATGTGGTATCCTTGACATCAAGGGTGTAGCAATGATGTTTAACAATCAACTGATAAGGACAGTAACACTGTAAATTCTCTTTGGTACATCTGATAGGGTGGCATGGTGGCACAGTAGTTAGCACTGCTGCCTCACAGCACCAGGGGTTAGGCTCGATTCCACCCTCAGGCAACTGTGTGAAGTTTGCACATTCTGCCTGTGTCTGCGTGAGTTTCCTCCCACCGTCCGAAGATGTGCAGATTGGGCAATTTAACATGGCCAATACACCTATCGTGTCCAGGGATGTGCAAGCTATGTGGATTAGCCATGGGAATTGCAGGGCTACCGGGATAAGGTGATGGGGTGGGTCTGGGTGGGATATTTTGCAGAGGGTCACTGTGGGCTCAGTGGGCCGATTAGCCCACTTCCACATTTTACAGATCCTATGATGGTGTATTGGTACCGCCTTGGTTTGCTTTGGAGTGTAACTGTGTAATGCATTGTCAAAGCACGTGGTTAAGGGTCCCTTGCTATATGAATACTTTAAGTGGCATAAAGTAAGCCTTGTGTAGATAGTTCATTTTTGGCAGGGCAGACTTGTGAGACTGAAGGGCCTCTTTTGGCATGTATAATTCTATGATTGGAGCTCTGCCATAAAGGTCCCTCCTTCTCAACCTCGCTCCTCTCCTGAGTTACGGTGACTTCAAGTTAAACCACTGCCAGTCCACCCTCTGAGGCAGCAGTCCTGTGGACCTTCGGGAGAAAGGTGACTTTTTTAGTGGAGCTGTGCGCATTTGTATTAACAAGCATCACATTTCTCCTAGCTGGGGCAACAGAGATTTGATAATTTAGGAATGAGCTCATTGAATGAAGTACTGATTGATTCATAAGAGATTTCTCCAGAATTTTGGTTGTATTTTAGATTATTTAACCTGCTGCCACAGAAAGTATAAAGAAATAAATTTTCCTACACACTGATCAAAGTATCCCATGTCACTAAAATGAGCTTTTTCTCATTATTGTATAATAAATGAAGATTGAAAAATGGCTCTGTGATTGCTTAAACCGTATTTGAGCAATGGCACATTTTAGATCATCTTGGGTGGCACAGTGGCTTAGTGGTTAGCACTGCTGCCTCACAGCGCCAGGGACCTGGGTTCGATTCCACCCTCGGGCAAATGTTTGTGTGGAGTTTGCACATTCTCCCCGTGTCTGCGTGGGTTTGCTCCGGTTTCCTCCCACAATCCAAAGATGTGTGGGCGAGGTAGATTGGCCATGCTAAATTGCCCGTCGTGTTCAGGGATGTGTAGATTAGGTGGATTATAGGGGGATGGGTCTCGGTAGGACGGTCTGAGGGTCAGTGTGGACTTGTTAGGCCGAAGGGCCCGTTTCCACACTGTAAGGATTCTATGACATCTATAAAATTATCTTTGCTTATTGTGTTACTTGTGTAGGGAAAAAGTAAATATATTGAAGTAAGATGGCTTCAGCAAATTAGAAATCTGAAAATGAAATTAAATTTGATATTTTACTAGAAGATTTCACTTTTTTTTGAGTGTTTATAATTAGAAGTAGAGTATAATATATACTAATAAAATACATATGCAGACATAGCTGTTAATCCATGTTGGTAAACTGGCGACTTATTGTAACTAAACTAAAATTTAGTGTTGCAGAGTTTTTTTTTATTTAGTGAATTCTATTCATTTTTTCATAAAGGTAGCAAATCAGTGACCTTGCATTTTGATGCAACATTCGCAATTTTGTGACAAACCGTTATCAATGATATGATATGATTGTTTTAAATAAACAAAACAAGTAAAATGGGATTCACTTGGCACACAAGGTGCCTGATGGTAAAATTTCTGTCTGTGTCCCTCATATGCACAAATACTGTAGCAACTACTTGGCCACAGCACTTATGGTCTAGAGGAATCAATCACGTGTTTACATATGAATCTGCACTTCCTTGAGTTGTCGACAGAATGTACTTCCTTCTTAGCTTATTAGTAGCTCTAGACAGTAGCAACCTTTGCTTAAGCTGGAATAGAAATGATTTTTGCTACTGAGAAATTAACTTGGTAGTTGCTGCTGTTTTTTGTACCTATACAGTAACACTTTCTTCCTGATCCCTTGACTTCGCCAATTCTTTTATCATATTTTGAAAGCCTTTTCAAAATCCAACTGTCTACCACTAATTTCACTTCCACAGCTTGGTGTCTGTTTCCATTTCTGAAGCTTTTTTTTAGAATCTATATTAAGGAGGCTGTGTATAAGTGCAAGTTGTGTTGCATCATCCTTCATTAACTAATAAGAAATACTAAATGAATGGAAGTCCTGTTTTTGTTCTTGTCTGATAGATGTGGTATTTGGTAACATAAATCAATAATAATCATAGTAATAATTTGTTCACGTAACCTATTTTCTGTTGTCAGCCAAACTTTGGTGCTTCCCTTCATATCTTGAAAGTGGAGCTTGGTGGTGATGCCCAAACAACAGGTAGGAATCTCAACTCTTTAACTTTGAAATGCACCGATTTAAAAGGTTATAGTGATTGAATGTCTTATCAGGGTTTTCTGGATTGTCCATTATAACATGGAAAGCATGTTGAGCACATTATGCCTTTGCACTGTTTCCTTCCGGTTTCTGTAGGAATCTGAAAATTGTATGGAAAGCGAGGAGAGTCCCCGCAGTAATATAATCTCATGGTATTTAAATCTTGTGTATAAACTTTAGGACCAAATAGAGCAAACATTGCTAGATCTTATGCTTTGTTGTTGTCTCAACTTTTTGAAATATTTGTCTATTTTCCATCATGGTATTTTGTGAATTGATGGGTCAAGTCCAAGTAGCTGCTCAGAGGTAAGAGTGGATGAGGCAGAGACGGTACATTAGCTCAGTATGCTGATCGCTGGTTTTGATACAGAGTGATGCCCATAGTTTGGGTTCATTTCCTGCATGGGCTGAGGTTACCTAGAAGGATCTCCTTCTCAACCCCTCACATCCCCTGAGGCACAGTGACCCTCGGGTGAAACCACAACCAGTTGCGTCGCTCTCACTCTCTTAGAGAGTAGCCTGGTAGTACAGCAGGATTATAGTGATATTGAATTTTTTTTTTGGTTGATAAAAGACACATTTTAGCAAAGCTTTTCATCTTTGACTCATCAGGACAATTTGCAAGAAATATCAAAGTAAACGGAAAAAACCTTTTTACTGAATGGGAGGAGAGTGCTAATTGGTTGGCAAATGGATTCTGATTGATAAAGGTATTGCTATTACACTGCAGCAGTTAATAATGACTGACAGTTAACTGCCAAATTTTAAACAGGTTAACTCTGATCAAGGCATTACTCAGAAATAAACCAGAGTGTAGCTGGCTGTCACCTAATTTGTTGCATTTCAATGTGTTGTATGTGCATATCTTCTTTCTATCTGCAAATAACAGGGCCCTGTGTATTAATATATCTATCTTTCCATGCACGTAAGTGTGCCACACCACGGGCTTGATGCAGTGTTGAATTGAGCGTCAGTATAATTCTTTGCATACTCGGGATTATGTAGTAAACATTGTCCAATCACAGAATCATACCTAATGTTGAGTACTATTGAGTTTTGCAAACACCGGCTTATCAGGTACTGAGATAACAAGGTGCAGAGCTGGATGAACACAGCAGGCCAAGCAGCATCAGAGGAGCAGGAAGGCTGACGTTTCGGGCCTAGACCCTCCTTCAGATTTGGCTTGCTATGTTCATCCAGCTCTACACCTTGTTATC